AATGAATTGACAGCTAATCACATCAAGACAATACAAAAATTCTTTATACATAATTTAAAAGCAATGTAAGGGAGGCAATTCAAAGTTGTGTTTGAATTACCTCCCTTACACTGTAATTTGTACTTAAGTAATTGTCCATTAACCAGGACACCCTTGTTTTTTTCTCACTTTTTTGCCCCTAATTCCTAAACGGTTTGAGCCATAACCCACAAAGCCAATCCTAACCATCCCTTTGTGGTATGGAAACTTGTGGTATAATTTCAGAGAGATCCATACACTGTTCCACAAGTTATTGTCATGAAACTAGAAAAATGCTTATTTGGGCCCCTTTTTGACCCCTAATTCCTAAACTGTTGGGACCATAACCCCAAAAATCAATCCCAACCTTCTTTTTGTGGTTATAAACCGTATGTTTAAATTTCATAGATTTCTATTTACTAATACTAAAGTTATTGTCTGGAAACCAAATGTCTTTGGACGACGACAACAACATGATACCAATATCTGACCACAACTTTTTTTTTTATAAAAATGAAAAACTAGAGGCTCTAAAGAGCCTGTGTCGCTCACCTTGGTCTATGTTGCATATTAAACAAAGGACACAGACAGATTCATGACAAAATTGTGTTTTGGTGATGGTGATGTGTTCGTAGATCTTACTTTACTGAACATTCTTGCTGCTTACAATTATCTCTATCTATAATGAACTTTGCCTAGTAGTTACAGTGGAAAATGTTTTGTAAAAATTTACAAAAATTTACAAAATTTATGAAAATTGTAAAAAATAGACTATAAAGGGCAATAACTCCTTAAGGGGTCAATTGACAATCTTGGTCATGTTGACTTATTTGTAGATCTTACTTTGCTGTACATTATTGCTGTTTACAGTTTATCTCTATCTATAATAATATTCAAGATAATAACCAAAAGCTGCAAAATTTTCTTAAAATTACCAATTCTAGGGCAGCAACCCAACAACATGTTGCCTGATTGGTCTGAAAATTTCAGGGCAGATAGATCTTGACATAATGAATAATTTTATCCGCGTCAGATTTGCTCTTAATGCTTTGGTTTCAGAGATATGAGCCAAAAACTGCATTTTACCCTATGTACTATTTTTTAGCCATGTCGGCCATCTTGGTTCGCGGGCGAGGTCATCGGACACATTTTTTAAACAAGATACCCTAATGATGATTGTGGACAAGTTCGGTTAAATTTGTCTTAGTAGTTTCAGAGGAGAAGATTTTTGTAAAAGATTACAAAAATTTATGAAAAATGGTTAAAAATTGACTATAAAGGGCAATAACTCCTTAAGAGGTCAACTGACCATTTTGGTCAAGTTGACTTATTTGTAGATCTTACTTTGCTGAACATTATTGCTATTTACAGTTTATCTCTATCTATTATCGTATTCAAGATAATAACCAAAAACGGCAAAATTTCCTTAAAATTACCAATTTAGGGGCAGCACCCAACAACGGGTTGTCCGATTCATCTGAGAATTTCAGGGCAGATAGATCTTGACCTAATAAACAATTTTACCCAATGTCAGATTTGCTCTAAATGCTTTGGTTTCAGAGATGTAAGCCAAAATCTACATTGTATCCCTATGGTCTACTTTTAGCCATGGCGGCCATCTTGGTTGGTTGGCCGGGTCACCGTACACATTTTTTAAACTAGATACCCAAATGATGATTGTGGCCAAGTTTGGTTTAATTTGGCTGAGTAGTTTCAGAGGAGAAGATTTTTGTAAAAGTTAACGACGACGGACGAAGACAACGACCGACGGACGCCAAGTGATGAGAAAAGCTCACTTGGCCCTTTGGGCCAGGTGAGCTAAAAAAGTCAGTAAAATTTTACATTTAAGGGTTATAACTCCTATAAGAAGTCGTCTGACAGTTTTGATGTAAATGAACAGCAGTTAGATCTTAACAATCTGAACATTTCTGCCACTGTCAAATTTTATCTATTCATACTTGTTTTCAAGATATTGGACAAAACTAGCATTTTACCCCATGTTCTATTTTTAGCCATGTCGTCCATATTGGTTGGCAGGCAGGGTAATGGGACATATTTTTTAACTAGATACCCAAATGATGAATGCGGCCAAGTTTTGTTAAATTTTGCCCAGTAGTTTCAGAGAAGATTTTTGTAAAAGTAAACGACAACGTACACCAAGTGTCCTAAAAGTGATGTAAAGGTCAAATGATTGCTGCCAGACAACATGTGCATCATGCAATTATTCCATACATCAAACATATTTGACCTATTGCTTACAGTATTTGATAAACAAAACCTTGTAAACTTGAAATTGACCCATTAACCATGGAAATGAGGTCAAGGTTAGCCGAAAGGAGCCAGACATGTACACCTTACAATGATTCCATACACCAAATATAGTGGCCCTATTGCTTATAGTATCTGACAAATAGACCAAATCAGAAAATAATTAACAGTGACCATTGAACCATGAAAATAAGTTCAAGGTCAGATGAAACCATGTGAAAGACATGTACACCTTACTATCATTTTATACACCAAATGTAGTTGACCTATTGCTTATAGTATTTGACATATAGACCGAATTAGAAAAAACCTAATACTGTAAATTCAGAAATTATTGCGTGCATTTATTATTGCGATTTTGTCATTTTAGACTAAAATGTGATTTTAAGTTTTGCGATATTGAGAAAAATCCTGTTTAATTCATACAAAAAATTTCAAAATGCGAGTTTAAATTATTGCGTTTATAACCCTGTCGCATTTTTCGCAATAATAAAAACATCGCAATAATTTCTGAATTTACAGTATTGACTAATGAACCATGAAAATGAGGTCAAGGAACCTGCCAGATATACATGTACACCTTACAATCATTCCATATCACTTAAATTTCAAAGGGGCATAATTCGAGAAAAATATTTTATTGTCACTGAATTTTGACTGAGAAAATGCAGATGTAATCCTTTGACCTCAATATCATTAAAGGTAACTGAGCTTAGGCTTATCCTTTAGGATTGTTAAATCATGGAAATTCATTAAAAATTCCTTGAAAAAAATCATTGATTAGTCCTATTTTGGAACTTGTATTGCTCAAACATCTGATAGCTTTTCAGGACTTTTAGAACTTGACTTAGCTTAGGTTTATCCTTTCTGATCGTCAATTTGTGGGAATTCATTTGTTCCATAACCACATCAAAATTTTATGAAATTTTCCCTTATACAGGCACAATATTTTGGAATTCTTGAAATATTTTATTATTCAATTTCCTAGGTTATATTATTCTGTTGCTCCTACTCTAAAATGAAGTAAAAGATCCTGTCCTGAAAACTGTACATAAATGTAGAGATGAGATCAAACTAATCAAGAATCTGACATTTTTAGTTGTTACAAAAAAAAAATAAATTGCTTCGCCGAGCGCAGCTGGATATGACTTTTGCTTTTGTGCAATACACTATGCTGTTGCGAATCGACCCCCCCCCCCCAAAAAAAAGGCTTAAAACAAAAAAATGACATACATAATCATGGCTAAAATTAATATTCCTTAATCAGCATTTTTAAATAGTAACTTCTAAAATAAATTGACAGCTAATCACCTCAAGACAATACATTTCTTTATACATAATTTAAAAGCAGTGTAAGGGAGGTAATCCAAACATTACCTTGTACTTTTTTTTAATTGTCCATTAACCAGGAAACCCCTGTTTTTCCCCAATTTTTTGCCCCTAAATCCTAGACGGTTTGAGCCGTAACCACCAAAGCCAATCCTAACTATCCCTTTGTGGTATGGAAACTTGTGGTATAATTTCAGAGAGATCCATACACCGTTTCACAAGTTATTGTCTGGAAACTAGAAAAAAATGCTTATTTGGGCCCCTTTTTGGCCCCTAATTCCTAAACTCTTAGGACTATAACCCCCAAAATCAATCCCAACCTTTCTTTTGTGGTTATAAACCTTGTGTTAAAATTTCATAGATTTCTATTTACATTTACTTAAGTTATTGTCAGGTAACCAAATGTCCTCAGACGACGCTGACGGCGTGATACCAATATAGGACCGGAAAATTTTTTGCAGTCGTATAAAAATTACTCTAATACATGTATCGTAAAATGGTTTTATTTCTTTAATGAAACAGTGACATATTTACAGTTTGTATAATAAATACATGTGCTAGAAATATGAATGCTGCATTTAACTCATGAAATTTGGTAATTTTTTATCCAGTCATAACATGTGGTATGCTTCCTCTCATGATAAAATGTTATATTGCATTTAGATAATATATTCAGCTTAAAAACAAAATACTGACAGCCATTCCTACACAACACAAGGCAACATATGGACTTAATCTTTCACCTGTAAAAAAAAGAAAATACCATAAATTATGTATACAAAAATAGACAACTTTTTCTAGTAGCTCATATAAGACCACTGTTAAATCTTTGAGAAAAAAATGTTTAAGATAGTTCCTGAAGAATTCCATTTTATGGTTTCAAGATAACATTACAATACTGAAGTGTTGTTATAATCCTATTTATAAGGGTAAAAATTTTTACTTAAGTGTTGACCTCAGTATTGTTTAACTGTAGTAATGACTTCAACTACTTAACTGACTAACAAATAACAAGAAAAAAAATAATATGAATGGTGACAAAATATTGTTTGACAACTTTTATATCACTTTGAATTTACTTTAGCTATAGGCTTATCATGATTCAGGATGTGATGACTTTTACATGTTTGTTTTTTGTTTTATATTTTATTTATTACTTTATGTACTGTTTTTTTTTAATTTGTGTTTCCAAATTGTACTAATCATGATTAACACAACCAGTACCACATGTGGAGTAGGATATGCTTACTAATCATGAGCAACACAACCAGTGTCACATGTGGATCAGGATATGCTTACCCTTCTTATGCACCAAATATCACCACTAGATTTTGGTTGAGTTCGTGTTGCTCAGTTTTTAGTTTTTTTATGAAGTGTTTTGTAGATTTTTTTATTGTATAATCCTGATTTTTGCCATGATTTTGTAGGTCTCTCTAAGTGTTTTGTAGACATTGTATAATCCTGATTTTTGCCATGATTTTGTAGGTCTCTCTAAGTGTTTTGTAGACGTTTTTATTGTATAATCCTGATTTTTGCCATGATTTTGTAGGTCTCTCTAAGTGTTTTGTAGACGTTTTTATTGTATAATCCTGATTTTTGCCATGATTTTGTAGGTCTCTCTAAGTGTTTTGTAGACTTTTTTATTGTATAATCCTGATTTTTACCATGATTTTGTAGGTCTCTCTAAGTGTTTTGTAGACTTTGTATAATCCTGATTTTTACCATGATTTTGTAGTATAATCCTGATTTTTACCATGATTTTGTAGCATAATCCTGATTTTTGCCATGATTTTGTAGGTCTCTCTAAGTGTTTTGTAGACTTTGTATAATCCTGATTTTTGCCATGATTTTGTAGGTCTCTCTCTGTTTTGTAGACTTTGTATAATCCTGATTTTTCTCATGATTTAGTAGGTCTCTCTAAGTGTTTTGTAGACTTTGTATAATCCTGATTTTTGCCATGATTTTGTCTCTCTCTAAGTGTTTTGAGTTCTGATTCTCCCTTTGATATCTTCCATCTCTATTTTTCTAATCAACTTCTTCACATCAAAAATCAGTTTTAAATAACATGAATTAAATGATACAGCAATACTCTAAGCAATGTGCCATTTTACAACTATTGAACCATTATTTTAACCTTTTAATTTGATAAAAAGAGGTTTAAATTGACTGGCATATACAGAAGTTCTTACCTATTCTAGCACATTTCCAAAAGATACCTAAAACCCTGCAAAATAAAATACATAAAAACAAACTTAGTTATTTTCATGTTCAACTAGACAAAAATAAACAGCTGTGCCATGAACGCATGATACGCCCTATTGTACATATTAAAATTGTTGCAAGAATAAAATGGGATACTTCAAAGGCACTTAATCATGTGTTCACCAATTCCAACAGTTACATAAAGTTTCCACTAAATTGCTTAAACAACTCAACTTATGGTACAATACATGTATGTGAAAAATTTACTAAAGTCTGACAATTAAAGTCCCATAACTCTAAAGCGCCAAATTGGAAAATTTAAAAAATCAAAAGTGAGCTTTCTTTCATCAATCCTCACAATAATATAAATTTTGGAGGAAATAAATCCTGACATACTGGAGTTAGTGTGCGATTTGTGAAAAATTGCCTTAAATGTAACAATTAAAGTTCCATAACTCTGGAACAACAGAAAATTTATTTTTTTTAAATCAAGAAGAAGCTTCTTATTAATAATTCCCACAATAATGTAGTCATCAATACTGGAGAAAGTACATAATATGTGAAAAGTTGCCATGAAATCTACGGGTCAAAGTTCTGTACCTCTGGAATGACAAATCCAAAAATAAACAAGAGGCTGTCAGATTGACAGCAAACTGGATTTCCTGCATGAAAATGATATTTGCAAATCTGAACCCCCAAACAGGATCAAGTAAAACAAGAGTGCACACGCTGAAATGTCTCGCCTTCTTTACTAATCATTGATATTATGTTGATAGTCCTAAATATAAAGCTTTATTACAACTGTCACATAAACTTAACATTAACCAAGTAAACTAAACATTGACCAATGAACCATGAAAATGAGGTCAAGGTCAGATGAACCATGCTAGGCAGGCATGTACAGCTAACCATTCTTCCATACAACAAATATAGTTGACCTATTGCTTATAGTTTAAGAAAAACATACAGCACAAAAACTTAACTTTGACCACTGAACCATGAAAATGAGGTCAAGGTCAGATGACACCTGCCCGCTAGACATGTACACCTTACAATCATTCCATACACCAAATATAGTAGACCTATGGCATACAGTATAAGAAAACCAGACCAAAACACAAAAACTTAACTATAACCATTGAACCATGAAAATGAGGTCAAGGTCAGATGACACCTGCCAGTTGGACATGTACACCTTACAGTCCTTCCATACACCGAATATACTAGACCTATTGCTTATAGTATCTGAGATATGGACTTGACCACCAAAACTTAACCTTGTTCATTGATCCATGAAATGAGGCTGAGGTCAAGTGAAAACTGTCTGACGGGCATGAGGACCTTGCAAGGTACGCACATACCAAATATAGTTGAACTATTGCATATAGTATTAGAAAAAAAGACCAAAACTCAAAAACTTAACTTTGACCACTGGACCATGAAAATGAGGTCAAGGTCAGATGGCACCTGCCCGCTAGACATGTACACCTTACAATCATTCCATACACCAAATATAGTAGACCTATGGCATACAGTATAAGAAAACCAGACCAAAACACAAAAACTTAACTATAACCATTGAACCATGAAAATGAGGTCAAGGTCAGATGACACCTGCCAGTTGGACATGTACACCTTACAGTCCTTCCATACACCGAATATACTAGACCTATTGCTTATAGTATCTGAGATATGGACTTAACCACCAAAACTTAACCTTGTTCACTGATCCATGAAATGAGGTCGAGGTCAAGTGAAAACTGTCTGACGGGCATGAGGACCTTACAAGGTACGCACATACCAAATATAGTTATCCTATTACTTATAATAAGAGAGAATCTAACATTACAAAAAATCTTAACTTTTTTTTCAAGTAGTCACTGAACCATGAAAATGAGGTCAAGGACATTGGACATGTGACTGACGGAAACTTCGTAACATGAGGCATCCATATATAAAGTATGAAGCATCCAGACCTTCCACCTTCTAAAATATAAAGCTTTTAAGAAGTTAGCTAACGCCGCCGCCGCCGCCGTAGCCGCCGCCGCCGCCGCCGGATCACTATCCCTATGTCGAGCTTTCTGCGACAAAAGTCGCAGGCTCGACAAAAAATAAATTAATTTTTGTAGGGTTCAGAAATGGAAAGGCCAAAATCAATCTAGGTATCACTTTCGCTACTTAAAGGTCTACAACTCAACAACAATAAAAGTTAAAATGGTGAAAATCGAACTTGACCTTCATTTAGTCACAGGAAACAACATTTCTAAATTATAAAAGATTTCGTTAAAAAGTTTTCAAATTACTGCACGGACAACGCTATAAGTATCACTTTTGGGTACTTAAAGGTCTGCAACTCAAAAACGATAAAGCTAAAATTGTGAAAATCGAACTTGACCTTCATTTAGTCACAGGAAACAACAATATTTAATCTGAAAAGATTTCCTTGAACAGACACTGGTTGGCAGCCGCCTGCCTTGCTGCCCGACCGCCATACATCACCAAACTAATAACCGATATTTTCCTTTGAAAAATCCAGTTAAAAAAGTAAAAAGGGAAATCTCTTCTGTCAATTATAATGTGTTAAAGTTATATAAAAAACTAAACAAAAACTTGATATGAGTGAGTGGACAAATCAGGCAATTTTTGTAATACATACAGAAATAACAGGCATACTGTTATTGTGTAAATTCTGACAGAGTTATCTCCTCCTGTCATGAATTGTGGTGTTGAAATAACACATTTCCATTATTGTACAAAGAAACGATGTCTGTAATAATGCCTTTTAGTTATCACAGACATTTTCATTGGGTGAAACGCAAATCAGAATTCCCACAATAACAGTATGCCTGTTTTTATGAAGCTTGGTTACTCATTTAAGTTCTTTTTTTGTCCCCTTATCTTGGTGCTGTTGACTACATGACATATCTTTTATGTAAGATTTGTTAAATACATTTAGGCACAAACTGTACAACAAAGACACAATACATGTACATGTAATACGTATGTATATAGTATTGATAGTGAAGACATATTGATCATCTACAAAGAGCCTGTGTCACTCACCTTGGTCTATGTGTATATATACAACAAAGGACACTCTCCAAAATTGAGAATGGAAATGGGGAATAGAATTCATGACATGTTTAGTTTCTCTTTATCTTCTTTAGTTTTTGCTCAAAACACAAAAGAGAGTAAAAAAAAATCCTCATTTAAGGGCAATCACTCCTATAAAGAGTGACAATTTCACTAAACTATATCGACAAAATTTGACTTGTTAGTAGATTTTGACTTGCTGATAATTTTTGTGATTTAAAGTGTCTATTTTTTGTATTATAATTTGTTATCATAAATGGCAAAACACAAAAAAAAATGTCTTTAAAGGGCAATTACTCCAATAAGGAGTCGTCGGACGATTTCCTCCATATTGTCTTAATTGTAGATCTTGTCTTGCTGAGAAGTCGTCTGAAAGTTTTGACGTATAAAGACAATTGGTAAAGCTCAAAGTTTTGAACATTTTTGCTCCTGTCAGATTTTCTCTATCTATAACGGTTTCAAAATAATAGACAAAACTTGCATTTTACCCCTATGTTCTATTTTAAGCCATGTCGGCCATCTTGGTTGACAGACGGGGTCACCGGGGATATTCCTTAAACTAGATACCCCGATGATGATTGTGGCCAAGTTTTGTTAAATTTGGGCCAGTAGTTTCAGAGGAGAAGATTTTTGTATAAGTTAACAGACAATGGAAACTCTTCATTAAAGGGCAATAACTCCAATAAGGAGTTGTCAGACAATTTCCTCCATTCCATCCTAGTTGTAGATTTTGTCTTGCTGATCATTTTTGCTTATTTAAGAAGTTTTTATCCATAGCTATCTATTATAATTTTTAAGATATAAGGCAAAAACAAACAAAAAATAGGTAAAAATCGTCATCAAAGGGCAATAACTCTAATAAGGAGTGTACTGACAATTTCTACCATGAAACTTATTTGTAGAACTTGTCTTGCTGATCATTTTTGCATTTTGAAGTTTCTCTTTATCTATTACAGTTTTCAAGATAGAAGGCAAAAATGAAAAAAAAAATTGGTAAAATTTGTCACTTCAGGACAATGCCTCCTACAAGAAGTCGTCTGACAGTTTTGACGTATATGGACAATTGGTAGAGCTCAACATTTAGCTCCTGTATAATTTTTTCTATTTATAACGGTTTTCAAAATAATAGACAAAACTTGCATTTTACCCTGTGTTCTATTTTTAGCCATGTCAGCCATCTTGGTTAGCAGGCAGGGTCATCGGACACACCTTTTAAACTAGATACTCCAATGATGATTGTGGCCAAGTTTGGTTAAATTTGGCCAAGTAGTTTCAGAGGAGAAGATTTTTGTAAACGTTTATGGACGACGACATCGAACGCCAGATGCCAAGTGATGAGAAAAGCTGTCTTGGCCCATTGGGCCAGGTGAGCTAAAAAAGTGATCATCTACAACATGTACCAGATTAGTTACCAATTCAATACATGTGCGGCCTCAAATTATAAGTAAAACTTTATTACAATAATAATGACAATTTTTTTAAGAAAATGGAAATTGAGCATCAGCATATTTCTTCATTTGAATAGAAAGAAATTGGTATATATTTCAATTTGGATCACATTTTTAAGACATCTCTATATATATGTATTAATGTAGGTAGGTAGAGGCATTCCAAGCTTATTTCTGCTTTGCAAAGAGTGAACAAATTCTTGTTTACTTACCC